CCAAAAAATAAAAATAAAAACATATAATAAAATTGGAATATACCAAGGGATGTGGTCTGTACTGTAGTCCTAGCTACTTGGGAGACCTAGGCAGGAAGACTGAGCCTGTGTACTCAGGGGAACAGAGCAAGACTCCATTCCTAAAATCATTGCCAAACACTTGTGTCACTGAGATAGAAGGATTGCAGTTCAAAGCCAGCCTGGGCAGGAAAATCTGTGAGACTATTGTCCCAATTAGCCACTGGAAAACCAGAAGTGGCATTGTGGCTCAAAGTGGTAGAGCACTAGCCTTGAGCAAAAGAGCTCAAGGACAGTGCCAGAACCTGAGTTCAAGCCCTATGACTGACAAAAAAAAAAGAATCATGCAGTAGAGGGAGGGCATGACTCAAGCAGCAGAAACGTTAGTGCCTCTAGTAAAAGAAAAAAAGTTTTAAGTATATATATTACATATCACACACACATATATATATAGTTTATATTACATATATATAATATACCTAGATTTTTTAAGGTTTCTTGTTAACTCATAAATCTTTGTCTAAAAGAGATGAAAAAAAATTCCTCTCTAAGGGTACACATGACCTAAAGCTATGTGTTATATGCTCATTAAAGTGTTTCACATCTAACTCAAAAAAAGACATAAATGAATGAACATGTAAGTAAATGGGAGAAAAAAATAGAACAATACATCTAGCATTCAATCCCAAAGTCCTAATTAAATTGGTTATTTAATGTATATTTGATATTAATTTGCAATTAGCTTCATTAGAATTCAATAATGTGGCCTGGAAACATGGCTTCATAATAGAGCTCCTGCCTAACAAGCACAAGGTCTTGAGTTCAAACTCTGGTACCAAAAAGAAATTTCAAAATAGTACCAAAAGTAAAAATAGATAGCAAATGCTCTTTCTTGTGTTGCTTTTGTCAGCTCATTACTTTACACTCTTCTAGTCCTGAGTGGAAAGGACAGAGTCTGATGGCTTCACCTCCTCCTCTGAGGAGCCAGTCCATTTGATGGCAGGGCAGGTTCAGGTAGACAACTCTGGAAGAACTGAGCCATTTCTATGAAGCAGTTTTTCTTAGTGCTTTGTTGTAGGGAGTTCAGGGCCTGCTTTGAGGTAATGCAGCTAGTAAAGATTTGAATATACTGAGTCTGGCTCAGACCTGGGGCTCCAGGACCTCTTCCTCTGCAGTTCCTGTGGTCTATACATGTGTGAAAATGTGGATGTTGGATTGAGAAGGGAAAGAGAGGATGAAGAAGATTGACAGACAGGATGAGTGGATCAAGGTACATTGAATGCACGGATATACGTGTCAGAATGAACCACCCTTCTACAACTGGTTGATGCTAATTTTTTTTAAATGTGGTGACCAGATGCCTTGGCTTATGCCAGTAATCCGAGCTACTCAGGAGACTCAGGGTGAAAGGACTGTGGTTCAAGAATAGCCTGGGTTGGGCAGTGGCTCAGTGGTAGAGTGCTTGCCTACCATGCATGAAGCCCTGGGTTCAATTCCTCAGTACCACATAAACAGAAAAGGCCAGAAGTGGCACTGTGACTCAAGTGATAGAGTGCTAGCCTTGAGCAAAAGAAGCTCAGAGACAGTGCCCAGGGCCTGAGCTCAAGCCCCAGGAATGTCAAAAAAGAAAGAAAGAGGAAGTGGCGCTGTGGCTCAAGTGATAGAACGTTAGCCTTGAACTGAAGAGCTGAGGGACAGCGCTCAGGCTCAGAGTTCAAGCCCCACGACCGACCGACAAAAAAAAAAGAAAGAAAGAAAGAAAAATGTAACTGTTTTAGCTTGGCACTGGTGGCTCAGGCCTGTAATCCTAACTACTAAGGAGGCTGAGATCTGAGGATCATGGTTCAAAGCCAGCCCAGGCAGGAAAGTCCATGAGACTCTTATCTCCAAAAAACCGCTAGAAAACCAGAAGTGATACTGTGGCTCAAGTAGTGCTCGCCTTGAGCTGAAGAGCACAGGAACAGCACCCAAGCCCAGAGTTCAAGCCCCATGGCTAACAAAAAAGGGAAGGAAAGAAGGAAGGAAGGAAGGAGAAAGAAAGAGAAAAGAAAGAAAGAACGAACGAAAGAAAGGAAGGTAGGAAGGAAGGAAGGAAAGAGGAAGGAAAGAAAGAGAAAGAAAAGAAAGAAAGAAAGAAAGAAAACAAAGAAAATAACAAAAAAGCAAAGCTGGAAACTTGCATGGCCCAGGAAGTATAGGGCAGACCCTGAATTCAAACCTCACTACTACAAACAAAATAAAACAAGAGGGAAGCAATACCAGCTTTAGACCCGGCCGCACCACTGGCTCTCCGCACTGGCCCACCCGTCCACCTATCTTGCCGATCTCTCATGACTCTCGCCCAGCGGAGTATGCAGATACTGTGCTGGGAGGGCACCTGGGCCTGAATCGTGGGTGCTCGGGGACCAGCGTGTCCTGCAGAGCCTGCTCCGTCTGGAGGAGCAATACCTGCCCCGGGCCTCCTATTTCCAGGGCATGCAGAGGGAGCTCAAGCCGCAGATGCAGAAGATGCTAGCATATTGGATGCTGGGAGTATATGAGGAGCAGTATGGCCAGAAGTCCTCCCCCGGCCATGAACTACCTGGATTGCTAGCTATCCTGAGTCCTACCCGAAAGGCACAGTTGTCACCCCTTGGGTCATCTGCCTGTTGCTGGCCTCTAAGCTGCGGGATACCACACTCCTGACCATCGAGAAACTGTGCCTCTACACTGACCAAGCTGTGGCTGCCTGGCAGTTGCGGGAATGGGTGGTGCTGGTCCTGGGGAAGCTCAAGTGGGACCTAGGTGCTGTGATCGCTCATGATTTCCTGGGCCTGATTATGCAACTGTCTCTGCCCACTGACGGACAGGCCTTGGTCAAAAAGCTTGCTTAGACTATTTTGGCCCTTTGTGCTACAGATCGCACCTTTGTGCCATGTATCGGCCATCCATGGTTGTGACGGGCAGCATTGAGCAGCAGTGCAAGGCCTGGACCTCTGCTCCTTGTCTGGGGATGAGCTCACCGACCTGCTGGCTGGCATTTCAGGCACTGAAGTGGGCCTGCGGGCCACCAGAAGCATGTTGAAGCTGAGCTTAGGGAGAGCCTCAGGGAAGCCTCCCAGCCCACCCCCAGCCCAGCACCCAAAGCCCCCCGGGGCTCCAGCAGCCAGGGGCCCAGCCAGACCAGCACGCCCTGCGGGCCTGCCAGGAGCAGATTGAAGCTGCGCTTAGGGAGAGCCTCAGGGAAGCTGCCCAGCCCACCCGCAGCCCAGCACCCAAAGCCCCCGCGTGGCTCCAGCAGCCAAAGGCCCGGGCAGACCAGCACACCACAGATGTCACCACCATCCACCTCTAGCCCAGGACAGCCCCCACCCCCCAGGAGCCACAAGCAGAGGAGGGGGAACTGCCATTCCTTCCCTGCTTCTAGAACAATCCGCATCACATCTGAAGCTAGAGGGGGCTCCTCCTCACCCTTCACAAAGCCCAAGGGGCCAGGCCCTGCCTATCCTGGCAGTGCACTAAGGGACCTGGGTGGCCATGATGCCTGCATGGCCAGCCAGCCCCTCTTCCTCCCACCCCTGACCAGCTCAGTTCTTGCCTGGACTAAATGCAGCTGGGCCTGATTGGTCAACAAAATTGAATAGGTAAAATCCACACACCAGCATTCCCTTTTGAGCACCCCGCCCCCACCCTCTTTGGGGGCTCTCATGTTCTTAACTGCCAAAATGCCCCACTGCCTTCTGAAAGTGTTGCCCCTTCTAGAGTTATTGCATTTGGATTGGGGTCTTTTGGATTGACATGAGGGGGAATGTAGTTGAGATGGCTTCCCTTAGCAATTTGGAGGCCCCTTATATAATCCGTGCCCCCAGCTACTCCTAGAGGGAAGGGCCTAGGCCTTGGTAAGAGGGTAAGAACCAAGAAACAGATCTCTCTTTGCTTTGCTTTCCACTCAGCTTGAGTGAGGGTTTGGTGCTGAAGGATGAGGTCATTTTAATTTATTAACTGTATGGAGCACAACTATAAGGGTACAGTGGGGCCTGTACCCTGTAAGTGGTAGTAACTCTGGTGATTGCTTTCCTTCTGCTACCAGCTAGAGGATCTTTGTGGCCCAGGAGCTGCTACAGTCTGGGATGGGGCCACACACCCCAATCCCTCTGACCTCCAGTGGGAGGATGCAGGGGACCCTGGAGGAGGAGGCAAGCCCCATCCACGGTGGTCTTTCCTAAGGCCACAAGGTTCTGGCTGGTGACCCAGGACCATCATGCTGCCTTAATAAAAATTCTGGAATAAAAATAAATAAATAAACCCAAGATGAAACAACAGTGAAACAGTAGGAAAAGAAAAGACTGAGTATGGCTTGAACTCTGGGCCTGGGTGCTGCCCTCAGCTCTTCAGCTCAAGGTGCTCTACCACTTGAGCCACAGCACCACTTCTAGGTTTTTTTGGTGGTCTATTGGAGATAAGAGTCTCTTGGCCTTTCCTGCTATGGTTGGCTTTGAACTGTGATCCTCAGATCTTAGCCTCCTGAGTAGCTAGGATTACAGGCATGAGCCAGCTGAGAAGCTTACTGCCCTTTTTTGTATATGGCTTCCTTTCTGTACTGTAGCCTCCCTAGTTATCACCTATTACCACCTGGAATATCAACCCTTGGGTTCAAGTCCAGCGGGACCCCTGGGAACCATCCCGGTGTCTCAAGGTATGTCAGTTATTTCACACCTTTACTAAACTGTGTTCTCCTAAGTGTGTCACTTGGATATTTTATTCCTGGAATTGATCGTCTTTGACAGGTTTTAGCCATTAAGTGTCTGCTAAATTAATGGACTGTAAGAGTCCAAGCACAAAATTTTACTAAACTTAGCAACAATGGCCTGCACCTAGCCAAATGGCATCTTCTCATTGAGCTAAACAAATGAATGTCTGGATTGATGTCTTCCTAACTCTACCCACCTCATGCCACATCCCACCTCATGTACCCCCACCCTGTTTTCCTTCCCCTGCAGCAGCCTATGGGATCCGAACGCTCCGAGATGCAGAAGCAGCAGACATCCTCTGTGCAGGAGCCACTGGGATCTGGACCAGGCCAGCCTGGAGTGGGGAGTCGGGGCTCTAATGCCTGCTGCTTCTGCTGGTGCTGCTGCTGTAGCTGTTCATGGTAAGACTGGCACTCTAGCAGCTACCATTAATCCACTAAGCAGCTTTTGAAAAGCAATGCCATATACATATATATATGTACATAGTATTATATATCCATATATATGCATGTATGGGTATATGTAATATATATGTATATATATATATACATATATATAATATATATGGATATCCTCCAATATACTGCATCTGTTTAGTTCCCAAGGAACTTCAGTTCAGATACTTGGAATCAAACTAGCCTTAAGCTGAACAACCAAAGAACAAGGCAGAAGCAAGGCAGAAATGGGTAGAAAGGCTCCCCCTTGGGTCTGAAGGCTTTATGGCAGATTTGGATTTAAGACCAATTAAGTTTAGGTTGAAGAAGCCTAGCTTTTATGTTCTATTGTTTTTGTTTATTATTTTTGTTTTTTAGATAAAGGAAAACCAATAGATATGCTTAAAATGGAGAGCAAAATCTAAAAATAGTCTATTTTATTTCTTATAGGAAGGCACATAGTCATTGCTTTAAGGAAATAAAAACAAGAGAGGCTATTCTGAGCAAAATTCAATATATGCATGTCTGTGGTAAAACTCCTTGGCCCCTTGGTGCATTTAGTACATAATCAAAATAAAAATAAATGACAGGAAAGACAGGCTCTATTGGGGGGGCTGGACTAGCCAGAAGGGGTTGGGCTAACAAGTGAGGGTAAATGGCCAAGTAGTTTGTTTGCATGTATAAAAACAGAACAAAGAAATTCATTGAAATTGTTTTAAGAAAGAGGGAAAATGATAAGGGAGGGTGATGGAGGGGTAAGCTTGATTGCCATACATTATATACATATGTAGAAATGTCACACTGAAACATCTCTGTATAATAATGTATGCTAATGAAAAAAACAAGAGATATATGTGTAAGGCTTGGGTTCAAGCCCATCATCACACACACACACACAACACATACACATAACAACAACAGTAATAACAATGGAAGAGGGAGAGAGCAGAGAGGGGGAGATAAATTAAATGTAAACCTTCCATGATCATTTGAAGCATTATTGAAGAACTGGAGAAATGGATTTCATTTCACACCTAGAAACCACACACACATTATGTTGTATCTTGGAAACCTTGTAGAAGAAGAGTCTTTAATGCCAGCCAAACTTATGCACTACTTTAGGCAATGAAAATTTACATAGGTTTGGGCATAAGCTAGACCAAGATCTCAAGTTCCAATGGAGAAGAAAAGCTGATATTGAAACTTATCAAGAGCAGGGATCTAGGAACTGCAGGTGTGGCTCAAATGATAAAGAGTGCCACTTGTGAGGAAAATACAAAAACAAAACACAAAAGCAAGAAGCCCTGAGTTCAAGCCCTGGTTTTGATATCAGAAGAGAGAGAGAGAGAGACAGACAGACAGACAGACAGACACACAGAGAGAGAGCAGGAATCTAGAAGGATTGGAGCTGACCCCGTAAGGGAGTAATATGAATGAGCATGAAAGAATAAAAGGCCCAGGAAAATTTGGTGTGAACTGGTATTAATTTCTTAGAGGTTCCAATCTGGTGGATGGGGCCCAGCACCAGAACAACTTTAAGAACTGATGCAGTCATGGTACTGGTGGCCTCTCCATTCATAATAAACCATGCAAAGCAGATGAGAATCTTGCCTGGCCCTCAAGGCATGATTTCAGCCTCACAGGAGACTAAATGACTGCAAAGGAAGCTAAAAGACAAGCTCAGTTACCAGCTGGGAAATCACTTTGTGGCCATGGCCTGCCCTATAGGGAAGACAACAGCAACGTTGCAGAGGCTGTGTTTGGGACCCTACTCCCCACTTTCACTTTGCCAGTTCTGCATAGCACTGACTGAGAGGATGTCACAGTGTTCATGACACTCCAGCTAATGCTTCTCGTGTCCTCTCGCTCCCTTGGTCAGGGCACAGGAGTTGAGGTCGTGCCCTTAACAACTTATTGTCCTGAAGATGTAAGGCTTGTAGTTGGAGACAAGTGTCAGAGTAGGATTCTCTTACTAGTACTGAATAAGGTGAATGAAATAATAATATAGCATCATCATTGTCTCAGCATTCATGAAGCATTTAGTATGTGAATATATATAAGGCAATGGAAGCTGAGCACTGATAGCCATTCCTTTAATCCTAGCTACTCAGGAGGCTGAGATCTAAGGATCAAGGTTTGAAGCCAGCCCAAGCAGAAAGTTGCCTGAGATTCTTATCTCCAATTAACCACTCAAAAACAGGAAGTGGCACTGTGGCTCAAGTGGTAGAGCACTGCCTTGAGCACAAAGAGGCTCAGGGACAGCACCCAGGCCCACTGTGTGTTCTTTGAGCCACAGCTCCACTTCTGGTTTTTTGATAGTTAGGTGAAGATAAGAATTGCATGGACTTTCCTTCCTAGGCTGGGACAGAACTACATACACCTTAAGTCTCAGCAACCTGAGTAATTACATACCTGAACCACTGGCTCCAGACAAGACATAATTGTTATATCAATGAGAAGACAAAGGCAGCATCAGCAAAGGAAAGAATGGACTGTAACAAACACAAGGATACTAATTTCATATTTGGACAAATCAGCTCATCTACTTGTCTTGTTTTAGCATTGAAAAGTCTCATATCCCAGAAAACATGTGAGGCCCATGCAAACCAGAAGGTTGATCATCTACCTAGTGTCCAAATCTATGAAAACAGGCTTATATTCCCCCTTAAAATGAAAAACAGCTGGCCAAGGAGGCATACATCTGTCATCTCACGTAGTCCAGAGGCTGAGGTAGGAGGATTGCTTAAGCCACCCCTGGGTGACATAAGGAGGTCCCCAGTATAAAAACAAAATAAAAACAAAACAGAAAACTTCAAGATAAATTCTGGATGGCTTAAAGGCCAAGAGAAAAATATAGGATCATATCTTAATGATCTTGGTGTTGGGAAGAATGACTTTTTCAAAAATATATAATTTATTATTATTAAGGTATTGTACAGAAGGGAAGAAGTCTTCTTAAAAGAAAACACAGGGGCTGGGAAGGTGGCTCAGTGGTAGAGTGCTTGCCTTGCATGCATGAGGCCCTGGGTTCCATTCCTCAGCGCCACATAAGCAAAAAGAAAAAAGCCGGAAGTGGCGCTGTGGCTCAAGTGGTAGAGCGCTAGCCTTGAGCTGAAGAGCTGAGGGACAGCGCCCAGGCCCAGAGTTCAAGCCCCATGACCAGACCCCCCCCCAAAAAAAAGAAAACACAGGTGGGCACTGGTGGCTCACAACTGTAATCCTAGCTATTGGAGAAACTGAGATCTAAGGATCACGGTTCGAAGCCAGCTCAGGTTTCGACTTTTCTATTCAGAAAAAGCTGGAAGTAGTGCTGTGGCTCAAGTAGTAGAGAACTAGTCTTGGGCCCAAGGAGGCTCGGGGACAGTGCTCAGGCCCTGAATTCAAGCCTTAGGACTGGCAAAAAGAAAGAAGGCGGGGGAGGGAGGAAGGGAGAGAGGAAGGAAGGGAGGAAGGAAGGAAGGAAGGAAGGAAGGAAGGAAGGAAGGAAGGAAGGGAGGGAGGGAGGAGAGAGGGAGGAAAAGAAAAGACAAAATCTTTGTGCTCGCTTCGGCAGCACATATACTAAAAAAAGAAAAGACAAAGTCTTTTATATAAGGCATTTTAGATATTCAGGAAGCTAAGATCATGGTTCAAAGCCAGTTCAGGGAAAGAAAGTCCATAAGATTCTTATCTCCAATTAAACACACACACACACACACACACACGAAACGATAAATAAAAAGATAAATAAAGGAGTTATGGCTCAGGTTGCAGAGCCCCTGTCTAGGCAAGCAAAGACTTGAGCTCAAACCCCAATATTGCTAACATAAATAAATTAGTTAATTAACTAGAATGAAAATGCAAGACCTACTCAGCAAGATAGTTACAGTGCACTTAAAGTTTTTATGAAGAACTTCAAGAGGTAAAAGCAAGCCATTGAAGTATAACAGCAAAGACAATCTACTTGAGCTTCTACTGGCAAAGATCACAGAAAGGAAAGCTAATAACACACCTCTCTAAATAAAGCCTCTTGATCTCTGCTCTAAAGGAAATGTACCTAAGATTATCCACTACAGCATTATTCTGAGTGAGGAAAAAAAATGAACATGGCTGGACAGTTCACATACACCAGAATGGAGGATGGTATCTCAGTGTGTTTACTGAACAATAGCATTCCTGTCTACACTCATGTGCTACAGCGGGAAAAAAGCAGTTACAGCCCAAATAACAGTATATATTCATTGTTATGTGAAGTTCGAAAAACGTTTCTGGGTGCTGGTAGCTCAAGCCTATGTTCCTAGCTACTCAAGAAGCTGAGATCTGAGGATCTCAGGTTTGAAGCCAGTCTGTCCAGGAAAGTTTGTGAGACATTTATCACCAATTAACTGTCAAAAAGCCAGAAGTAGAGCTGGAGCTGAAGTGGTGCCACCACAAAACAAACAAAAAAGTCTAACCAGTGTCTTCCTTATAGAAAGAACATTTCTGAAGCACAATAGCCCCCAGTAAACAAATACACAGGTTTCCTTTTCTTAAAATATTTCTATTTAAATGTAATGAGATGGAAAATGTCAAAGCTCAAATAAGTTTTGCATTATTTAATTCATGGTTGAGCATCTGGTTCTTTCCGGAATCTTGTGTGAAACTCACAATTCATTTTCCTCTCTGCTTTCTCTTCCCCATGGTGCAGTGATGTGACCCCTTACAAAAGAAACCCGGGAAGCCAGGCATTACTGACACCCATGCAGAGAGGATGCCACCCCATGCTTCTCAAGACTTTTTGGTTTGATTTGGTTTCATTTTTTTCAGAAACCATTATTTATTGAAACTTTTTAGCCTAGCTATCATAAAAGAAACAGGTCAAAAGAATTCCTGCATTTTTAATGAGTTTGCCTTTAAAGAAAAATTCAGCTACACACACACACACACACACACACACATACACACACACACACTGAAATTCATATAGCAGATGTGTTAAAAAATAATATAAAATACTTTTCTAAAATGAGGCAAAAGGTGTTAAGGGAAAACAAATAAAAAGGAATAGATTAATGCAGTAGTAATGACAAGGTAAACACAATTCATATCATCCATCATAAATGTTCATTTAGAGGGGGTGGGCCTTTATGTGAAAGCACATTCAAGTTTCACAAAAAGTATTTCTTTCATAAGTTCATTTTTGAAAAAAAATAATAGTCCAACGATCACTTTCTCATCAGGGGAAGATAGCTTAATTTCCTTGATTCTTTTTCCCAGAATACTTTTTGAGATTTATCAGAGATTCCTACAACTAGGAAAAATATTTGATAATATTGATAAGCTACTGAAAGCTTTTCCCCTACAGTTAAGAATAAGGCAAGAATATCCACAGTCTCCACTACTACTTAACATATATTTTAAGTATTACCCAATGCAGTTAAACAAGAGAAGACAATTAGAGGCCTAGGAATTGTTTTTGTTTTGCCAGTCCTGGGGCTTGAACTCAAGGCCTGAGCACTGTCCCTGAGCCTCTTTTGCTCAAGGCTAGCACTCTACCACTTGAGCCACAGCACCTTCCAGCTTTTCCTGTTTATGTGGTGCTGAGGAATCGAATCCAGGGCTTTGTGCATGCTAGGCAAGCACTCTACCACAAAGCCACATTCCCTGCCCCAGAGCCTAGGAATTGAAATTGGTTAAATTGTCTCTATTTACAGATAGTGAGAAAATACGTGGAAATAACCAGAGAATCTGGGGCTAGAATTAACACAAACATAAAAGAATTCAGTAAAGAAGAATATGAAATTAACATAAAAATAGTTGTCTTTCTGGCTCCTGCTTGTAATCCTAGCTACTTAGGAGACTGAGAGCTGAGGCTCTCAGTTCAAAGCCAACCCAAGACAGAAAGTCTGTGAAGCTCTGATGTATTGACCACACAAAAAAGCTGGAAGCAGCTGTGGCTCAAACGGTAGCCATGAGTGCTAGCCATGAGCTAAAAAGCTCTGTGACAGCTCAGGGACAGTGCCCAGGCCCTTAGTTCAAACCCCAGGACCAGCACAAAAGATATAGAAAGAGCAAGAGGGGCTATTGGCTGGATGCCTGGATCTGTTGGCTTATACCAGTAATCCTAGTGACTGAGGAGGCTAATATCTGAGAATCACAATTTGAAGCCAACCCAGGCAGTAAAGCCTGTGAGACACTAAGTAATAACAACAACAACAAAAAAAGCTGGAAGTGGAAATGTGGCTGTAGTGGTAGAACACTAACATTGAGCACAGAAGCTCTGGGACAGCTCCCTGGCCTCAGGGCCTGGGAGTTCAAGTCCCAGGAACAGCAGAAATAAACAAACAAGCAAATAAATAAATAAATAAAATACAGGGGTTATACTAACTCTACTGAAGATAGAGTTACAAAGTACTCCAGCAGTTCCTAAGTATTTATGTAAGGGAAGTGAAAATATATACTCATGCAAACTTACATAGCAACATGATACATGCAACCAAAAACTAATAATAATAAAATGCAAATGTCTTTCCATTGATGGATAAACAAAATTTGGTTTATTCGTACCATGTAATTTTCAGCTGGACAAAGGACTGAAGTACTGACATGTACTACACACAACCTGGACAAAAGAAAAGCATTATGTCAAAATGGAATGATGTCAGCCCCCAAAGAACACAGATTGCAAGTGTCATAGACACTGTAGATAGATCAAGAAACCAAAAATAGATGGTTAGTGTTTTTCTAAGCCTGGTAGAAGTAGAAAGAAATAACTGGTAACAGGTGTGGACTTCCTTTGGGACATGCAAATTTCTGGATAGTGGTGATGGCTACGCATCACAGTGAGTATAAGACTAAAACCAACTGTACACTTTAAATAGGCAAAGGCTATGGTATGTAAATAGTAACTCAATGAAACAATTAAGAATTTAATAGCTTTCAGATAAACTGAGATAGAAGCAAAAATTCTATTTACAATAATAACATCCATTTGAAATGAATTTACAGAGAAAAGCCCAAAATAAGCCAGGCACTGGTTGCTCATGTAAATCTATAATCCTGTATTCTCAGGAGGCTGAGATCTGGTGATTGCAGTTCAAAATCAACCCAGGCAGGAAAGTCTCTAAAACTGATTGCCAATTAACCACCAAAAAGCCGGAAGTGGAGTTGTGGCTCAGTGGTAGAGTGCTAGTCTTGAACAAAAAACTTAATGACAGTGCTCAGGTCCTGAGTTCAAGGCCCAGAACTGGCATTTTAAAAAAAGAAGAAGGGGCCCTAGGTTGGATTCCTCAGCATAAGCAGAAAAAAGCCAGAAGTTGTGCTATGGCTCAAGTGGTAGGGTGCTAGCCTTGAGCTGAAGAGCTGGGGGACAGTTCTCAGGCCCAGAGTTCAGCCCCCACAAAGGACAAAGAAGAAGAAGAAGAGGAGGAGCAGGAGGAGGAACAGCAGGAGGAGGAACAGCAGGAGGAGGAGGAGGAAGAGGAAGGAGAAGGAGAAGAAGGAGGAGGAAGAGGAGGAGGAGGAGGAGGAGGAGGAGAAGAAGAAGGAGGAGAAGAAGGAGAAGGAGGAGAAGAAGGAGAAGGAGAAGAAAGGTTGTTTTTTTTTTTGGTCCAGTCATGGGGCCTGAACTCTGGGCCTGGGCGCTGTCCCTCAGCTCTTCAGCTCAAGGCTAGCGCTCTACCACTTGAGCCACAGCGCCACTTCCGGCTTTTTTCTTTTTGCTTATGTGGTGCTGAGGAATCCAACCCAGGGCCTCAGGCATGCAAGGCAAGCACTCTACCACTGAGCCACCTTCCCAGCCCAAGAAGAAAGGTTTTTGAAAGATATAGAATTTGATTGTTTTTTCTCAAGAAAAGAAAGGTTCTTAAAAGATACAATAGTAGAATTTGAGTGGTTTTTCTCTAATCATTCAGTGTATGTGGCATTAACATAGATAACTTTTATTTTGTCTACAAACTAAGCTTGAAGATTATCAACTTTGCTTTCTTTCTTTTTTCTGGTGGTGCTGGGCTCTAAACTCAGAGCCTCACACTGGCTTTGCTCACTTGCTTGACTAGTACTTGACCACTTGCACATGCCTCCAGCCCTACTATTTGGTGATTATTTTATAGACAGATTTTAGGCTAGCTTCAAACCTCAATCCTCCAGCTCCAGCCTCTTGAATAGCTAGGATACAACAGACATGAGCCATGAGAACCCAACTATGGATGTATGCTTTTTTTAAGGTGAAGAAAGTAAAATGAAATTCTCTACAAACATATTTTCATTAAATAGTTTCTATTAAGAAGCTGAGATCTGAGGATCACATTTCAAAGCCAGTCTGGGCAGGAAAATCTATGAGACTCTTTATCTCCAATAAACTACAAAAAAAAGATGGAAGTGTAATTGTGGCTGAAGTGGTAGAGAGCTAGATTTGAGCAAAAGATCCTTAAGGACAGTGCCTATGTCCTGAGCTCAACCCCCTGGGGGACCAGTGCGCGTGCACGCATGCACCCACACACACAAGTTTCTAACAAACAACTTTTAGGAAAAGAATTGTTATTCTAAATGTAATTAAGTGTAATAATTTCTGACTCTTCTTCAACTACTATAGAATGCAGTATTCTAAATAAATGTAATTTGTGTTTCTAATAAATGTTGCTCACGGATCAAGTATTAAAAGCTTCATCCAAATTTTAGGAGGTAGTAAATGTTTTTAGAGGTGGAGTCTACTTGGAGGTCTTAGATAATTGGGGAAATGCCCTGAAAGGTCCCCAGTGGGATGCTAGCCCCCTCCTCTTTCCTTCCTGGCCTGTGACCTGAGAGATTTTGCATTCCCTCCTAGCAGGACAGGCTATGTATGCCTCTCCACAGCCCCAAACAATTGAGTCAAGCCATTATGTACGGGAATCTATCTAGATAAACATCTTCTTTGTATAAGCTAATCTTCTCAGGTATTTTGTTTTAGTGATGTAAAGTTGACTAATACAAATACTTTATTGTCATACTTTTGATTTTCTTAAAAGCAATTAGGGTGTTTCCTTTTTTTTTTGTCGGCCGTGGGGCTTGAACTCTGGGCCTGGGCGCTGTCCCTCAGCTCTTCAGCTCAAGGCGAGCCCTCTACCACTTGAGCTACAGCGCCACTTCCGGTTTTCTGGTGGTTTATTGGAGATAGGAGTCTCACGGTCTTTCCTGCCCGGGCTGGCTTTGAAC